GCTCATTCTTTTTAATCCAAGTTCCATTCTGCTTCTGCTATAGGTAAAAAAAATAAGCAAACTGAATAAATATACTTACTACAGTTATATAATTGCACCCTCTATAAGTGCACACCCTCTCTAAATGCAGTTCAAGCCCAAATACCGATATATATGTGACCTCTATAATGCACTTTTTCTTTGTTCTCTAAGCACATATTGTTAAAGTTCAGTCCCAAAAGTGTGCACTTATGAAGGTTTTACTATAATTAAATTCACCTTGGAATACACAGTACCTGAAGCGATAAATATCTCTTGTAGAGTAACATGTTAAATTAATAGATTTAAGTTCAAATAAATGAGTATACATCGTATGAAGAATTAAAAAAAAAAAAAACTAGGTTACAAACCTCTATATTTAGCCAAGAGTGGGTACATAAACTAGAGTCTTGTGATCAAACATATACATATACAACTCTAATTAAATTCTAACGCAAAAAAACTTTTAAATAGTAATATTAACTAATAAAATACTTACGCAGCAGTTTTTTATATTTTTATTTATGTATATGAGTGCGTGAGAGTGAAAACCTGGAAACCGATTTAATGATTTACTATATTCAGTTTCCAGGTTTTCACCCTCACGCACTCATATCCAAAAAAAAAAAAATTTAATCATTCTCCACCCGATTTTAATGTAACTTATAAATAAGGAGCTAAAGCGAGAATTAATAATGGCATACTTAACGGTACTCTCTACCATCTTCTGTTGATATTATTTAACACAATCAGTATATAATGATAATTCAAAATGTATTTGCAAATATATACTAAGATTTTAAAACAGCCGGGCTCACCTACAACACTATCAGCATTTCCTTCCATTCATCAATAGCATTTTTTGGTAGAGTGTAATGTTGAATAGGAGGTATATTATAATTACTATGCTTGGTATTTTCATGCTGTGAAAGTCCTGCTGCAGATTTATACCATTTTTTTTTACAAATCGTATACTCAAAAGGCTTATTATACGATGAGCGAGGCATTAAAAAAAGCTTGT